ATGGATGTGGGAGCGAGTGTGTTCAGTATACACAGTTGTACACAGCAGCTCTGCGTGAGGGTGCAGTTGCGGGGGGTGCGAGAGGGTGCAGCTGAGGGGGTGCGAGAGTGCGCAGCCGCGGGGAGTGCGCCCTGTGAGCGTGTGAGGGGCCGCTGTGGGGAGTGTGCAGCGGTGGGGAGTGCACCCTGTGAGCGGGTGAGGGGCCGCTGTGGGGTCAGTGGCTTAATCGCTGCCTAGATACATTTTCTAATATTAGCAGGTTTCCTTGATTTGTTCAGGCCGCTCTGCTGACTACTGAGCACATGGCAGCAGTCCGTCCAATAGCAGCGCAGGGATACTGCTTTCGCATCACCCCTCTCTAGCAACAGTGACTCTCCTTTTATTTATTTGTCGCTTCCCTCCGTGGTGTCATCGCTGTGAATGAAACGCTCCCCAACGAGAGGAGCGGGCGAGAACTGTGTGCGCCAGTGCCCCCGCCCCCCAGCCCCCGTCACCCCCCCAGTCCTGTGAAGTTGGAGTCTGAGTCAGAGCGAGCAGTCACTGGCGATGCTCCATGCCCCAGCTGCGAGGTGCAGTAAGCGGGCTTTAAGTCTGGCAGAAGCAGGCTAGTGATGAGCGCTGGATGGGGAGTGAGGGCGCACTGACTTGTGGAGTGCTCGCCTGCGACGGTGAAAAGAGCAAGAATGAGGAGAGGAGAGTGTTTTCTCCCCTTTTTTGGTGGCGTCGGGAGGGAGATGGATGGCGTGAGTGTGGAGTGCGATGGTTGGGTGTTTCGGTGCCACGTGGCTCTGCCTGGCGCCCCTCTTTTCCCTGCCCGCATACAGAGGCTGTCAAACTGCCTGCCTGCTCTGCTTGTCCACTTGTCTGTCTGGCCGAAGCCCCGGTGAGTGTTACCCTCTGCTATGGTAAATCACTTTCTGCTTTTTTGTTTCCTTGTTTGGTACGCCGTGATCGCCGCGGGCTTGCCGAGCGGCACGCTGTCCTGCGAGCGGCTCTGGGTGCCGGCTGAGTTAACGCACCATCCTCCACTTCCCACCTGAAAGGGAATACTTCTCTTCTTTCTTTTTTAATGGGATGGCCAACTTTCTGTGGATTTGCTGGTTTAAAGATGTGCTCTGTTGGGGGGGGGAGCTGGCATCCAGGCTCCTGTACGTCACTCCCTTGCCTATTATTCTTTGCGACGTCCCAGACAAACGGGCGGTTGGCTGTGAAGGTGGCACCGCCTCAGTCCGCTCTCGTCCCCTGAATTTTGAGTTGCTGGACATTGTAAACATCCTCTCTGGCTGCCACTGTTATGTTACGGATGCCTGCTGAGAGCTCGGTCCCAGTTGGGAGCCCTTTGCTGCGTGGGCATCTCTGTCATTTCTGCCCTTTTTGCGCATGGTTATCTTAGACGGGGGTTACCGGCATGGTTAACTTAGACGGGGGTTACCGGCATGGTTAACTTAGACGGGGGTTACCGGCATGGTTAACTTAGACGGGGGTTACCGGCATGGTTATCTTAGACGGGGGTTACCGACGACCGTATCCCTCTAACCGTGCCGCGTACTTTGCTCCCAGTGCCTCCTGTTCATCAGAGGTGAGTCAGAACAGCAGAACTGCAATTTTCTGTACTGTTGCATTTATAAAAGTACAGCCTTACCAGGGCAGGGCAACAAAAATGGTTTTGGGGCTGTTTTGCCGTTCTTAATACAGACCTTCCCCAGTCGCCGTGTGGTAACCTGTGCGGCCATTTTGACGGCTGATGTGAGCACAGGGCATTTTAGCTGAACAGGATATGCTGCCAAACCAGAGAGGGTGGTATTAAGGGGATAACGCTATAGTTACACAGCTACCAGCCCTACTCCCAACCTGAATCGTCACCTCTGCGCGGTCATTGTGAGGACTGGTGTGAGCTGACCGATGAACCTGAGAGGGCAGTGATTTTAATGGGGAATGACCCCGGTTTCACACAGCTTGTATCTTCCTTGTTGGTTTTTAAGTAGTAGGTGTATAAGGTTACTTCCCAAATGTGTGACTCCGCACAGGACGTTTTGTTAGATTTTTTTTATCCTCCTCAGGGATTTCTGGAGTCGAGCCATTGCAGTGACATTTTTAAAATAACCTTTAATGGACTTAGTGGGTGCAGGATGAAGATGTTCTCTGCAAAGGCCAGGCTCGGTGTCGGAGCACAGGCGATCTGGCAGATGTCTCCGCACGCGGTTAAATGAAGCCATGCTCTGCAGACACCCTCATTAGTATCATGGCTGACATTTCCTGTTAGGGGGACACGTCGTTTGCGCCGTAAATCCCAGAGATGATGAATATTCCTAAAGAATATAAGTTTAATTAAAAATCTTAATAAATACACCACATATCAAATCTGAAAATTCAAACAATGTAAATTCTCAGGCTGGGTGTATGCTTTTGTAGGCTGGTTTAAATTCATACTCATCAGTGCTTAAAATGTTCCCGAAGGGGCTGGAGATCTTTTCAATTGCAGCAAAATGCAGATCGATGATTCACATTTTCACCACTTTGCAGACGGCTCTGCATCCTGCGTCATAATCACGTTTAATGTCTTTATTTCTGCTTTACGGCTGGCTGACAACAATTAATGATGCATCAAAATATCAAATATATAAATTATAATGACTTCTCGCTGTTGTCTTGGAGAAAAGCTGTCTAGCCGTGATATATTACCCAAGTTTAGGTAAAACAACTTGCTTACACATAAGTAGAACACAGTCGTTAACGTTCGTCATTTGATCGATGAAAGCCTTTAATGAAATTATACAGGACTATGTATTTATCAATATTTATACAGCAATGCAAGTCACTGTCTTCCATAATTTAATCTCTGTGTATACAATGCATACCAGAGGATATTTCAGTCACCCCACAGCAAGGACTGCAGGGGATATTCTTCTATGTCGTACATCATCTGTGATGTAACGTGTGTTGAGTAATAGGGTACCAGATGAGTAGGTGTCTGATACTGTTCTTGGATTAAACAGACTTTCATACTCTCCGTGTGTAATCTGTCATAAATGATCCTTTTGAAAAACAAAATTAAAATGAATGTAAAGCAAAAACTAACAGCATGAGCCGGGTCAGTCTCCCTGCTATACAAAGAGAAGTTAAAGCTAAACACACAGAGCAAAGAGAAGTTCTTTGGAAAATGTAACTGAAGTAGGTACCAAAAAATGTTGCATTCCAGAATGTTCCGTATGGTACTAATGGAAAAAATCAGCATCTGTATGTAAATTTAGACTGGGGAAACATATTATTGAAAAAAGGTACTGCTAAACATAAAGACTGAGAGAGGACATGAGCAAATGCAAGAATTATATCTAATTATCAAGATATTTTTAAAGGTTTAATTCTCCTTCGTAAGGCTGGCTGTCATTAATGGTCTGGTTATGTACTACATGTGCATGACTTGTGTCTGAGCCCATCCTAACATGCGGTTTATTACAGGCTTTGATGAGGCGTATAACTGATTACATAAATCAGCAAGTGTTTGCATTGTTAATCACTGTATTACATCAAACAGCCAAACAAACAGAACCACAACGTGCCACATAAACAATCACGATAACTTATCTAAATGTGCTGCATGGTTTTTTTTAGATTTTATTTTGCTGTGAAGGACAAATTGTTATATTGTTATAGCCCAGAGAAATTCCCTGCTTATATTCTTTTGTAATGGGTTATTCACTCTTTCTCAAAAAATCATATTGAATAATTGTTTTTTAATATTGGCACATTTGCACTGGAATACAGTGATTTAATTTTTTTTCCCCAGTCTAGATAATCACATCATTGTGAGCAATAAATATCCCACAATGCATCCTCTGGTGGTCGCTGGATATGTTTCAGTTGGAGACTCTTAATCCTTCTCATTATTGAGCCCAACTTTGTCTTTCTGCCCCGATAGCTCTTCCTTCTTTAATTGTCATTGTGTTGTGTGAATATGTGCTATGAGGATGACGCAGGACAGCTTTCTCTGCTACACCTGTGTGTTTCCGCTTCAGTCTTCATGCAGAGTGCAGAGCTCCCCCTGCCCCCCCTTCAGATCTGGTCAGGTGTGAGGTCTCTGGCTTTCGCGGTATTCCAGCGTTTTTATTACGGTGCATGCGGGGACGGGTATCACTTGAAACACAAGGGAACCCGAGAAGATGTGTAAATGTAGAAATATGGTGGCGCTGTTGGCTTCCGGGCTGCCGTAGAGGCGAGCCGGGGCAGGTTCGGCCGGTGTGGGAGTGATGCGTGATAGGGAGATGCGACTCGCTTGGGTCTTATGGCCGTGAATATCTGTCTGCGAGGGAAAGTTTGTTCCCGTCTCAGACAATGTTGAACTTCTTATTAAAAACCAAACAAGAGGCTTTGTTAGGATGCGTAGTGTTGCCAGCAAAGTCATGCAAAGCCGGCAGTTTGCTCATAAGATCTCACCTTTTTAGCCTCCTGCCTGTCAAAGAGGGTCAGTTAGAAGGAATTCAGTGAAGAGTTAAAGAGCTATTCCTGGTGTTGGCGGGCTGGTGTGCATGTTTTACAGGCCGGTTGGAAGAGCTAACAGCCATCCTAAGTAGAGGTTTCTGAGAGCATGACTGTACACCTGAATGGTGTCATTTTACACAGCATTTGCGAAGGACCTACATCTGCCTTGCATCAGAGCTGCTGTGGAGTCCATCCCAGTTATCTGTCCATGGCTAATGGCCTCTTAGCCACCCCAGTGCCACCGTCGTGATCGTGTCACATTCTCAGTGTTGTTTCTCTGTCCCCCTTGTCGTCACCAGGCCTCACTCTCCCAGCACCAAAGACGTAGGAGCCTGCCTCTGCTGCACGTATCAGCCTGTCCACAGGAGCATGTTGCCGACACCGTCACTCTGCTCCATCGTCTGGCTGAACCGAGGCATTAAGCTGAGGAAGGCCCTCCACTCCGCTAACACGGGCCAGCTCTGAGGAAGGCCCTCCACTCCGCTAACACGGGCCAGCTCTGAGGAAGGCCCTCNCTGAGGAAGGCCCTCCACTCCGCTAACACGGGCCAGCTCTGAGGAAGGCCCTCCACTCCGCTAACACGGGCCAGCTCTGAGGAAGGCCCTCTACTCCGCTAACACGGGCCAGCTCTGAGTTTGCCTCGCTCCTGCTCTCTGCTTCAGGTCTCACTGGATTTTTTTCTTTTTCCTTTTTTTAAAAAAAAAAATAAAAAATAATCAACAGTATTTTCAAGGATCTGGAAGTACTTCCAGCATCACCCTCCACCCTTTGGCATCCTGACTCCACTCTGTGTTGCCAAAGTCCTACGTTTTATGTCCTCTCGCTCTGTTTTGTTCACGCTAAAGCCCGATAATGGCCGCAGAATGCTTCCAGTTCCGTGCCCTGTATGAGTACAGCAGGGACTGGGAGGGAGACATCGACCTTGCGCCAGGGGACATCCTGACTGTGGACAAAGTGTCCCTGCTGTCACTGGGCTTCAAGGAGGGTGACGAGCTGCACCCCGAGCGAGTGGGCTGGATCGTGGGCGTCAACGAGCGCACTAAACAGAGGGGCAACTTTCCGGGCACCTACGTGCAGTATGTGGGCCCCGTGAAGATGGCCCTGCCGTCCAGCCAGGCGCGCCTGCAGAGACCCCTGCCGGCCGCCCCCAGAGCCGAGCCACCGCCTGCACAGCGAGGTAAGTGGGACCTAGCCGGCCCCCCCTTCGGCTCACGGCACAGCGGGGGGGTGCTGGAGCCCAGTGGCAGTGCAGTGTGCTGTGTTGTCATCATCGGCATCATTATTATTTTGTAGAGAGTAACTAAGTGTATATATCACATGTGACCAGGTATATTCAAATGTCAGTGAGACAGCAGATAGACCCCAAGGTAGTCTGTGCACAGACCTGCACGTTCCAGCTCTCCCTAACGGAAGTCCGGACTTTTTTCTTCTGGGGTTTTTTTTTTATTACTGTTCTTTCGGTGATAAACACATAACATAGCAGATATAAGGCCTTTTATTCTACTGTTCAGACTGAACTGTTCATGGTACTTTGTGAGGTCGGGGGGGTTCTATCACATTTGATCTTTTTTCGTACTTCCCCCACCTTTGTACATTTGAACTCTGACATTTACATTGAAGGATTGGAGGTATTAGCAGCCTGCCCCAAGTGAACTATGTCAGCTGGTGTCGTAATGGCTAAAGCCCTGGACAGACAGGTTGCTGGTTTGAATTTCCCTGTCATGTCCTCGCCCCGCATCTCGTCCCCTTTCCCCCTCGTGTCCTCGCCCCGCATCTCGTCCCCTTTCCCCCTCGTGTCCTCGCCCCGCATCTCGTCCCCTTTCCCTCTCGTGTCTTCGTCCTTGCCCTGCACCTCGTCTCTGCTAGACTTCAATCCCCCCTGCCCCCAAACCCAACACGAACCGGAGGAGACAGTGGCCTCAAACTTTCCCTCCCACTGCCTGAGCGGCAGCGTGTAGCTCAGGTAGGGGGGGTGGGTGGACCTGGTGCTGAAGCAGCACATTCCTCCGTGGTCATGTGACACTGCTCCAATATTTGCCTTGTATTCGCCCCCTTCGGGGAGTCGGGCCGGCCCAGTTCCGCTCCAGACCGCGAGCTCACTGGAGCGACGAAAATTGTCCTCGCATCTGTCCAAGAGCTGAATATCACCAGCTGACATTTTGCCCTCCACTGCTCACTCTCTTCTGTTTCTGTCTTACCGACCACATATTCATCCCGTTTTTACCAGTAAGTGTTTTTAATTTCATTTTATATTTTATGCAAGCTTGCTTATATCTGTCTGAAGTTTGAGTCGCATGTAATGTGCTGTTTAATAAAACACATGGTGAATAGGGCTGGGTACTGCACTTCAGTACTTTTGTGATACTGACAGAAATGCTCAGATTCTGTCGAGGATTGAAAAATGAATTATCTTTCGGTGCCAAATTCTGATACCCAAACAATACAGCACAGCCTTACACAGGACAGCAATACCCAAACTCATGGTCTGTGAGCTAATAAGCATGCAGCATATGTGTGTAAAGATTTAAAGTCGCTGGTGATTGGCTGTCTAACATAACGTTTCACGATCATGTCATATAGGCTGGAGGAAAAACTTATGCCCAAAGACTTGCAAACTGGTCATTTTTGTTTGTCGTGTGGTGTAAAAAATGTCTAAGAAATCAATAGTGTGGCCAACATTTTTGGAGACAGTGCAAATAAATTTTATAACCAGGTACACCAATGCAACTTGCAAATAAGCACCTCATTTATGCCTAAATATGCCTTGTCGTATATGATGTGAAACACCCAGAGCAAGTGAGAATTGGTGTGATGTGTTTGCATGTGTGTGTGTGAGCGAGATCATTGGAACTCGGTCCGATTGCAGTACTGAGGAGGTGCTTACAGTGATTAGCTGCGGATTGCTTAAGCACAAGCACCGGCGCTAACAGGAAAGCAGAAGTGCAAGAAAAGAGACCAAAATAGCGCAGTGAAACCTGCCACCGCTTATTAGCCGGATAATGTTACGTCATTTTTCTATCCTGTGGAAAATGAAAGATCGGTCTGTGGACCTGGTTTATTTATGAGTTATAAACATGTTGTGGGTCGTATAGGTAAAATAAAAGTAAAAGGCTGTGCCTTATGAACGCGATGGACCCCCCCCCCCCCCAGTAACTAACCAACAACTAACAAAACCACTTGTTCAAATAATAGATTTGTAATATAATGTTTAATGTTGTTTTTGTTGTTGTTGAAACTGATTTAAGAACATTGATATTGTTCAGGAACCAGTACCAACATCAGAGTATCATTCTGCTGCAGGTATTGAACATTTTTCAATGATGCCATAATGATCAGGGTTTTTAAAGCTTTTTCAGTGACAGTGACTCGACCAGCCGGCATGATACGAGAGGAACGGGAAAAGTGCATATTAATCATTCCTATTTACTCGTCCGTGCGTGAGAGGAACTGGAGGTTGTCACTTCATGTTTTAACGGCATGAAAACACATTTTTTCCCTGGATTAGCATGGTTTAGATGCCTGGTGCTTCATTGTAAGGGTATTTACAGTCTTTATGCACATTTATCACTCTCTGTAACAGGCCTCTGCCTGATGCGGCTTCCCCTTTATCCTGTGAATATCTGCTGTACCGTCTGTGCTGCTTTAGTTTTCAGTTACGCAGGGATCTGGTTTTGTCTGACTGGAAGCTGGTTATGTACTGGTTGTGGTTGATCTGTCAGGATGTGACTGCAAGGTAGTCTGCATTTGAGCAGCAGAGCTGCACGTTCACCCTTAAAATCATTAAAGGACAACTTCCTTCTCCCCTTGCTATAGAAATGTGACTTTATTACCACCCAAATGAAATTCCGGCAGTAATCCTTTGGCTTATAAACGCTATAAACATTTAGCTCTCCGTTTACCTATCTTTGTAAAGGCGGCCATATACGCAGATAGTGCTGCCGGTTTAAGAACTCTGGACTGAACGCTGTTGAAACGCATCCCAGAGCAGAGCATGGCGGTACCTGAGAGGTCAGCTTCTCTCTGCCTGTCGCTGCTGCTGGAAACCCCCAGCTGCTGGTGTCAGGCCTCCAGTCAGCTGCTGGTGTCAGGCCTCCAGTCAGCTGCTGGTGTCAGGCCTCCAGTCAGCTGCTGGTGTCAGGCCTCCAGTCAGCTGCTGGTG